GAAATCCTACAGCGCCCAGCAAGGAGAAGGAGCAAAAGCAAACCTGGTTCCCAGCATCTTCCCAGCATGTGCTCCCAGGGCGCTGGGCTGCGGGGTGGCAGCAGCTCAGCCTCCGCTTTCGTGGCGAGCTGCTCGCCCCTGCGCCAGCCCGGCTGGGGGGATGCGGATGCCAGCGCAGCCCGCGAGCCAGCCGGGGACCCCCAGCCTGACTGCTGGCTGTCTTGCAGGCAAGTGGGGCAGCATCCGAGCCAGTGGGCGCATGAGCAGCTACGCCCTGAACATGGAGATTGGGTCGCGCCTGGCTGGGAAAGACCTGCTGGGTGCCCAGCACAACGGCACCCCCTCGGAGGCCAGCTTCTTGCGCCAGCACCGGGCCTCGCTCTACATTATCGGGGACAAGTCACAGCTGAAGGTAACCCCGATGCCTGGCAACAACCTCCTCGGGGGGGGACAAGGGTGGCGGTGGGTCTGCTTGGGGTGTCTCTCTGGACGGCGCTGATTCTCTCCTCCCTCAGGGGGTGAAACCGGACCCGCTGCAGCACTGGGAGGTGGTTCCCATCGAGGTGTTCGATGTGCGGCAGGTGAAGGCCAGCTTCAAGAAGCTGATGAAGGCCTGCGTGCCCGGCTGCCCCTCCACTGACCCCAGCGTCACCTACTTGCGGTCCCTGGAGGAGTCTGAGTGGCTGTCCCAGGTCAGTTGTCGCACAAAGCCTGGAGGGGCCCTGGTCTGTCCCCACGGTAGGAGTCTTCGCTGTTGGCTGTCGCTCGCGGGCATGTGCTCTTACCTCCTGGCAAAGTGAGAATGGGGGTCCAGGTGCCCTCTCCAGAGCATCGCTGTGGCACGGAGTGGGGGACACTAAGGGAGGAAGGTTGGTATGAGGAACAAGGATAAAATAGTCCAGAGTACTGCTCTGTGGTGCTGGACATGAGAGCTGCGAGTGTCTGGGGCAGCTGCCGTCTGGGGAAGCAGGGTAGGACCTGCAGAACGCTGTCAAGGAGTTGGTACAAGGCAGTGCCTGCAGTAGCCGGGGGTGACCCAGGTGGCTGCTGCTCTGCAGGACTGGTCCCACTGCGGAGCTGCTGTGGGACTGGACCCTCTGGCTGCTGGAGGGGGCGAGGGACCCACGGCTCTTGCTCCTGGTGTGGTGGTTCTGCCCCGCTGGCTTTGCTGTTGCAGACGAAGGGTGCTGCACAGTGCCTGAACACGGGGGTCGTGTATCGTGGCCCTGCGTAGCCCCCGTGCTCTGCTTCGTTTGGCTCACCTGCTTCCAGGAGAAAGGGCCACTTAGCACAACGTCCAGCAAATGAGTTTCCTGCACCCTGGTAACTCTTGGCCCTTGTGTTGGCAGATCCATAAGATCCTGCAGATTTCGGTGTTGGTAGTGGAGCTCCTGGACACAGGCTCCTCCGTGCTGGTCAGCCTGGAAGACGGCTGGGACATCACCACACAGGTAGGAGCCCTCCAGCTGCTGAACGCGACGGCTGCCCGTGGCCGTCTCCCCACGAGCATCTCGAGCCCCCCTGTCCCTGCAGGTGGTCTCCTTGGTGCAGCTGCTGTCAGACCCCTACTACCGGACGCTGGAGGGTTTCCGCCTGCTCGTGGAGAAGGAGTGGCTCTCCTTCGGGCACCGCTTCAGCCACCGCGGGGCCCAGACCCTGGCTGGCCAGAGCAGCGGTTTTGCCCCCATCTTCCTGCAGTTCCTGGACTGCGTACATCAGGTGAGCTCCGAGCGCGCCGGCTGCCGGCTCTGCACCGGCTGGGTCTCCCCGAGCACCGGGGCTGGTTGGCTCCTCGTGCAGCGGGGAACAGGTCCAGAGCCAGCCTGCAGTTCGTGGGTCCTGGGAGGTCTCACCCGTGCTGCTCCTTGCAGATCCACCTGCAGTTCCCCATGGAGTTCGAGTTCAGCCAGTACTACCTGAAGTTCCTCAGCTACCACTACATTTCCAACCGTTTCCGGACGTTCCTGCTGGACTCCGACTACGAGCGCATCGAGCTGGGTGAGGGCAGTGTGCGGGGCCCACAGCGGATGGCAGCCCAGTGCCTTGCCCCAAATAATGCCCCTTCCCCGCTCTCTTCGCCGCAGGCCTCCTTTATGAGGAGAAGGGCGAGCGGAAGAGCCAGCAGGTCTACAAGTCCATCTGGGATTACATCGACCGGCTGAACAAGAAAGCCCCCGTCTTCTTCAACTACATGTATGCCCCTGAGGATGGGGAGGTGAGAGCTCTGCTCCTGCCCTGGGTCAGGCCGTCCCAGCCGAGACCCCGCGTGCCGCAGAGGGCTCGGACGGGGCTTTCCAGGGGCACCCCGGGGTCTCCTCGCCCACATGGAGCCGAGCGAGCAGCCCCTTGTCGGCTGGACCGTGGCGTTTGCCCACCTGAGCGGTTTTGCCCGGCTGCCGCACCGGGGCCCTGGGGAGGGTGCCTGCCGCCTTGGGGGGCACGAGCAGAGTCAGGCCCCTGAGAGCTGTGTCCCTGCAGAGGAGTTGGGGGGGATGTAGGTGAGGCTGCAGAGGGCTGGGACACAGGGGAGATGCCGAGCTGGAGCTGTCAGGGTCTCATTTTGGGCTCTTCACCACCACAAGCTGGGAAAGTCCTTCCTCGGGGAGAGGAAGCGGCAGCTTCTGGCGCGTGGCCTCAGCAGGTCGGCAGCGCAGGGGGCTGCGCTCTGCCAGTGCGGGCAGGCCGCGGCTGAGCTGCTCGGAGCTCTCGCTTGGTCTGGGCCCAGTCTTGGCCAGAGCTGGGAGCAGCTCTGCCTTTCTCTGGCCCAGCGTTGCCTTTTCCTGACCAGCCGGCGGCCTTCCAGCTTCAGCTGCCTCTTGTTACCGGTCAGAAAGCATCGCCCTTGGGGAAAACTCATTGTGAAGGGACTGATTTCCCATCTGGACAGGTTGTCCCAGCAGCGTGGGCAGGGACATGTCCTGCCTGGACGCTGCTGCCCTTCCTGACCGTAACCCTGCTTCTTCCGCAGGTGCTAAGGCCGTACAGCAACATTTCCAACCTGAAGGTGTGGGACTACTACACGGAGGAGACGCTTTCTGAGGGCCCCTCCTACGACTGGGAGCTGGCGCAGGGGCAGCCGGAGCACGTGGAGGAGGCGGATCGGCAGGACACCAGTGCCCCCCAGACAAAGCGCAAGATCATCTGGCCGTGCTACGACAACCGCAGCCGCGTGGAGCCTGATGCCATCTCCAAACTGCTGGAGGTGAGCGCGGCTGGCGGCAGCATCATCTTCGCGTTGCTTCTGGGTTTCGCCCTGGCTTCCCATGGTGTCCCCAGGGGTGGGACACTGCCCCACACACACAGTGGGACAGGGTTGTGGCAGGGTTGGAGTCGGTTGAGCCCCTGGGACAGGGACAATGGTCCCGGGGGTCTTGTCCCCTCCCGGGCTGATGCCTGAATCCCCCTGCAGGAGCTGCACAACCTGGAGATGGAGCTGGGGCAGGTCCCAGAGCGCTGGAAGGACACGTGGGACAAGGTCAAAGCTTCCCAGCGCACCGAGGCACGGCAGGAGGGCAGCCGGGTAGGCTGGGGGCTGTGACGGGTGTGACGGGTGCCAGCGTCTGGGGGGAGCTAAAGGGGGGGGGGTTGGCTTTGCCCAAGGGTGCCCTGAGCGAAGCGGGCGTTTGCTCCTGCAGCCCGGGGGCCGAGGAGGGGTGCTGGTGCTCGGCCCCCAGGCCGGGTGTGCCCAAGGGGTGCGGGGCCATCCTCCCCCTCACAGTGTGCTCTCTGCTCCCCACAGACCCCCAGCTCCCTGCTGATGTCCTCCGGCCTCTCCCACCACCGGCGCTCGCTGGGCGTGTACCTGCAGGAGAGCGGGGTGGGCTCTACCCTCAACCTCAGCCTCGACAGCGACACCAGCAGCACCTCCACCCCCTCCAGCGGGAAGCAGGGCGGCCGCAAGAGCACCAGCACGCTCTACAGCCAGTTCCAGATGTCGGAGAGCGAGAACAGGCAGGCGGGGGGCTCGGGGGGCTGGGGGCGGGCGGGG